ACTAATCCATATCCTCGGCTTGCTAGCAAAAAAGTACTGCATGAAAATATTTATGTCCACAGACCTCTCTAATTAACCATCTTATCCATTTGGTCCTACAAGATGGATCAAAGGAGGTATGTCCTGATCCTTGATTTGTACGATTATAGGTGTAACACATAGTTCATTCCTTTTAGAGGTGCAAAACATTTAATTTGTAATCGATTTTGTGTTTGTTTTTGCATAGAATACTTAATCTAATTGACTCGAAAGTTCCCGCAGCAATGCGCGGGGTATTATCTAGTAGATTAAGCGAGGTGTTTAGGCTATAAATTACCTATGGATACAGCTAGGCCTCTAGATAGATTGTGGTAGTCGGCAAGTGATGATAGTCTTGTCCATCATCTGTATTCCACCACGTTAGGTCTCGTTATCATAGGGCTCATGGCAGACCTTGTCTATTTAACTCTCCTAGTTGGTAGGCGGGCTGTGCCCCAAAGTACTAGCGCATTTCTCGTAGTCATTTGTTTACACTTTGTTACTTAAGATTAATTGCTCTCTCTCCCACCTAGCTATCCTACCTCTAGTTTAGCTAGATTATTAGTTTACTCATTCATTCAATCACAACCACCATTATCCCTCAACCACTTAGGATAAGGTCAAGCTTTTCCTTTAGCAATCCTAACGATCATATATAAACTAGCCTCCCGCCTTTCTTTGGGAAAATATAAATTCGACATTCGGTACTCACCGAGTGAAGTGCTACTCGATAGTTCTGTGCGCTTGCGGAATCCCTCCACTAGTCGTTAAGAAATATCAACACCTGCCGAGCAGGCTACTTGATGGAGCTCAACCTCTCCTCGTTCCTTTAGGGTTTGGGACGGAGGAGAGGTCGTGCGGAGCTGCATTGCGCTTAATGAAAGGAGAAGGGAGAGGTCATGGTCAACCCCTCACCTTGGTGCTTGGCTCAGGTCTGCGTGGCTTAGATGGGATTGTTGGGCTTGTGCTTGCTTGGCCGTCGTGGGCCGCCCGAGCGGCTAACTAGTCGATGTCTTGAGATACATAGGGTATCATAACTCCGACACCCCACATACTCATGCTATTTCTACACTAGGAATACGCAACCACATGCTTTCCATATGTTGTCGACCATTGCTCTATGAGAATTAAAGTTACCTCTCTAGCTATCTTTCATCAAAAAAGAGGCATGTGCTACGAAAAAAAAGAGAGAGAAAATAAAGAGCAAAAAGCTCTAGTGTTCAAAAAAAAGAGAGAGACAAGAAATTAAGTAGCCATGTCCTCTCAAAAAGAAGCTAGAGAAGGAAAACTTCTCAAAGGAGTACCACTTCCACCATATATACCACACACATGCACATCTTAATCAATTTGTATGATTTGTTGCTCCTTGTGATCCAAGTTTTGACTTAGCAATATATTCAATTCAAGTAAGCTATGTTTTTATTCCCTACCTTAAGCTCCACATAAGCCTTAGGATAGGATGTTAAGGCTAAGCTCCTTGGCCTTGGTGAGGTTTCAAACACCATTGAGAGGCTTGAGTCTCTGACGATCTTAGGCAAGTTTTTTTCAAATATGTTGAAAACATCCAGGAAGTTTTAGCTAAACTAAAGTAATGGAAAAAGTATCTATCTAAGCTACTCAGTCTTGCAATTGCTTATGTCAAGGTGAAAAGCTATAAGCCCCACATTGCTAAGACTGATGATGGATTTCTAATTCTAACAAGTTCAACTCAAGAGATAGTATTTATTTGTATATAAGTTTTTGCAGGGCGTTACATTACAGCAACTCCTGATCCAACATGCTATACCTACATCTATGCCATGCTAAACCCGCATCTTTGCTCGAGACGAGCAAATTAAAGGGGTAGCTTGGAGGAGCTTGTTGATGGTCACTAACACCCATTTTGACCATCAACACTTCACCCAAAAGCAAGATAAAATTAAATGAGGTAAAACATCATCACATGTGTTCAATTTGCTTTATAATTCACCTAGTTCTACTTGTACTTAGAGATTTATTTGTATGTAGTGATTTTAGCAAAAATGGTAGAAAATATGTGCATAGGATGCAAGTGGATGTGGCAGTGAGACTAGGGCCCATAGGGCCACGTCGGCCAACGCCATGTGGCGTCACCCGACACCACCCTGGTCCCTGCCACATCACTGATCAGTGGGATGCACTCCAGAAGGACTCGCCAGCGTTGATCCAATGTTGTTTTGATCAATGGCCAAGATGAAGCTGCCTTGGATCCATGGGCCCACTATCATAGACTTGGAGGGATAAACCGACTTACAAACTGCCTTACTAACCAAAGTAACCGACCTACCTGCGATGCAACTGCCTTTGATGAGCAATCAAGGCCCTACGATGCAAAGGCGGTGACATCCAACATCGCCCGACGCCCAAGGACGTCACCGGACGCCTAAGGAAGCTCCACCGCCTTCCTTGATGGCATATAAGTACCCCAACTGCCTCTACACACTATAAAAGGGGCAGTGGTGCTCAGTGGAGAAGGGCCCCATTCATATTCAAGCATTCCAAGCTTCTCCAAGCTCTCTAGTTTAGAGTAGCTCTAGATAGTAGCTTAGGAGTTGAAGTAGAGCTAGAGCGGAGCTTCTTCAGAGTTCGGAAGAGTCTTCTGGGTTTGGTATAGCCCTTTTATAATTCTTTCATTTAGCATTTACTTTATTCAGTACTTTATTTAGTATTATTGCTTTGCTTTGTTCAAGTTCTAGTTCATTAGTGTTCATTATTAGTGAGCTTAGGTGCTTCCTCTTAGCATTAGTATCATAGGTTACCTTTTGTTTAGTAGTCATTCGTTAGTACCGGTTCCATCTGGTTAGGGTGCTTTGATCTTATTTCATCGGAGCTCGGATCAAACTAGTAAGTTTATAGATTAAGCGTGGTGCTTATGCTATAGATTACCTGTGGATACAGCTAGGTCTCCGGATAGATTGTGGTAGTTGGCAAGTGATTTCAAGTTACCAGTCATGGCATGGAGGAGCCTGCTGGGATTATCCTCAATACATTGTGATTTCAATCTGCTTGGTTTGATTTCCATTTTGGATGAATGTTTATACGTGTCTAACTGGCTGTTGCAATCTTCACCTGTTGACGTATGTCTCTTTTCAAAATCTAGGAGCTGAAGATCACATCTGTACCTATTGTGTCTGTATCATTTCCGGGAGGGCCAAAAGGGTGCACATAAGGTTCTTCAGGTGAATAGTCAGATTTTTTTTTCTCTTGTTGAAGGTTTGACTCCGAGTGTCTCAGTGTTAAAGTTTTTTTTATTGACAGCTGAAAGATGTGAAGGGAAACTAATTCTGGTTTGACCTTCTTTCCATTTTTTAATAATAAAATGGCCATCTTTTCCTGCCTTTCCCCTTCCTTGTTCATAGAAATTTAATCATTTGTATGAAAAATGGAAGAATAACTTTTTTAAATGTAGGAGAGCTACATTTCATTGTATTATAGAGATGAAAAATAGAGGGGCGGTTCCCCAACAGGATCCTCACTCATACGGGATCAGATATGAGTGAGGCAATTACACTGACTCATTATTCAAACACGTAGTGAACAAACACGACTCGACCTTACCTAAAAAGACCTAGTCTGCAAGCGCCAGTCCTAGCCCTTGTAGTTTCTTGGCCCCAGCCATGCTCCAGAGGCTGTGCTCATTCTTCAGCTGACTTCGAATCATTCTAATCGAAGGAAAAGCTCTCTCAAAAACACATGCATTCCTATGTTTCCAAATAATCTAGGTCCCTAGATTTGTGCATTAGATTTTGAATTTACTCATTTTGAGGAGCCTTTGTTTTTGCTACTAGCTTGTACGAGATAGTCTATGAATTTACTCATTTTTGCTACTAACACGTCGTCCAGAGACAGGGTGCGTAATGGCGCAGCCCCAGGTGGCCATGACCTGGTGCATCTGGTCATCTGGACATGGACCTCATCCGCAGTGAGCCACCGGAGTATGGTCTCGAGGTGAGCCTCGAGTTTGATCCCTTATTGATGGATTGTTTTTTTTTCTATTTTAATGGCAACACACGGGCTCTCGACTAGATTTGTATTCATGCATCGTGAAAACATCATCTCTATTTTGCATTTTTAAAATTGTGCTTGAGTGATTTTTTGTGGTAGTGTAAAATGATTGATAAGCATCATATCCATTTCAGATACAAGGTGTCCATATGTAATATTTGTCTCTTATTGACATGATTGTGCACAGGGAGACATGCCTATAGCTGAACAGGAAAACATAAACTTAAGTGTGGATGTCTCTGATTTAGTGTAGATTCTGTACTCGCTTAAGTGGGTGTATGTGATTGTAAGTCTTGTATATGTGACATTATTGATTTTGAAATATAATGTAACAGTTGGGACTCATTCATGGATGTGTTGCAGTAATGGTAAGGCTAATTCAAACCTGGTGATGGTGTAATTTTCATGGAGGGAGACGTCATGAATGTCCTCCGGGAAAATAAGTAGTAATGGTTGACCATCATGACATTTGTATTTTCTTGACTTCAATGCTGCGAGGATTTATGACAGTCGATCGTCACACGTATTAAATTTGTATTTTCATGACTTCAATGTTATGAGGGTTTATGCCAGTCAACCATCACGCATTTTTTTTATGAGGGCAAAACAGAATATTGAGAACATCATAATCAAAATTTGGTTTTTACATTTTACTAATTGTACACACGTTCAAACTTAAATTATTGTGATATTATTTTGTTCCCGTTATAAAGACATGATCCTAGTATAATAAAGAAAACAAAACAGAAATAAAAGATAAAATAATGATTAAAGGGACCGAGAAAAAATAAGCACCCCTTCACACACCATGTTGCATATCATGATAAATTGATTACTATAAATTGATTGTCACTTCCCCCGACATAAACAAAACAGCCGTTTCAAGACAAAACTTGTGTACACAGAAGTGGAACAGAAATTGTGGTTTTTGAATCTGCAACAGTCGTTTATATGGCTTCTCATGCTTCACGTAGGTCAATCATCTCAAACTTCACATTCGGGTTGATGTATACATGGGAGCAATGCTCATAGATTGGTGTCCCATCTAGGGGCTCCTCATGAGGGTGGAATCCAGTCGCATCACAATCATGGATCACGCCCATGCCACATGGCTCCGTGAGATGAAATATGCCATGTTTTCTGTTCAAAGTAAAAATAAGAACATAATTATATCACAAGATTACACAAATAGGATAGCACATATTTGTTGCAAATGGTTTCAGGTTTGGCTACAATTATGAAAAAACAGGAGACTACGGAATAGATGCAGCTGAGCTTCACTTAATTTATATGGCCAAAGAGTTAAAAATTATCAGCAACAAGAGCTAATAAAAGGTGATAGATAACGGCATTGGTTACCTTAGAGGGCTTTTATTCAGTCAAGATCCTACATAATTTACAGCATAAATACAACAAAAAATCGATAAAAATCAGCCTTTGTCAATGGTATATCGATAAGTACTGATTAGCATTATTGACTTTTCTTCTTGGCTAGCAGGCCAGATTACAATGACCAAAAAATTGATGGTGCAACATCAATGAAAATAATACCTTGTTGTATCCGTAGGAGCCATAACTATTGCAATCGCTTCCGGTAGCATAATCTGTCACCAAGATGACAAACACATGATCAAATCAAAGAAAACAATAATTTGCTGAAATAATTCTGAAACATTAAAATGTAGTGGAGAGAACATTTGCAATATACAGAAACAAACAGTGTAGGACTTGAGTGCTTAGCCACGATGGATCCTAGAGCATTTCACAAGTCCCAAATACACTAAACCCCATCCATTCGTAAATATATAACATTCTAGAAAGTGTGCAGTCCAGTTCTTCAACTTCTACCACAAGCTCTCAAGATAAGTTATTAACATTAGTCGTATGGGTTGGTGCATTCATGAATACTAACAGTATGTAAAGCATTCGTAAATATAATTGACTAATTTTACCAAAAAGATACTATGATTTTTCAAATAAAACTAGATGTGTTGGTGCGAAAAATGCCACATATAAAAGGACTAATTAACAAGGAATCCCAAATTGAATAAATTAAGCTCCACAGTACAAAACAAACATGACAGATGAGGCATGACTCCTAGAGAAAGTCAGTCTTCCTGACACTAGTTTCAAGCGAACTAAAGTACAAGCAGAATGAGACAGGGACAATTTAGTAAATATAATCCAGATATTAAGATAACTGCACTGCTATCATGCATTTAAAATTCTAAATCATTGTGCCAAAGTTGAACAATAAACTGACATATGTAATTTTAAAAAAGAACTTTGCTTCAGCTACAAAAACAGTTACAGGACAACAAAGTGCTGAGTACAATACAAAACACGAACTGCTATAGTGGAAGTAGGAAACACGGTGAAGTGCTCACCTGATATGCGTAATGATTATGAAGATCAATGGAAGATAGGAAGCAGGTCTGTGTTGGATGTGTCTGCGAAGAATGACAGAAAAGTAGCAACAAAGTTAATAACCAGCTATAGTATTATGTTCCAATCATCCAATGACATTGGCAGATGTGGCAACTGGGCGCACTCCATACTATATAGTAGTGGCATACATCAGCCATACATTGGCCTCTGCTGACTCCTGCTGAGGTATAGCAATAGGCCATCACCTCCTTGTACTAGTTAGTACACTATATAGTAGTGGCATACATCAGCCAAACTTAGTAGTTGAGGCTGATCTCAGTCATGTATTGGTAGTACATGTAGCTGGTGTACTAGTGTACCTTGTAGAGGTACTAGATTTTTGTATATAAGCTAGGCCAATGCAATGAAAAGCAGTTCAGAGCAACACTCTTTCAGAGTTTCAGACTTGTGCTGTGCTGTGTTTGTGTGCTGTGTTCTCTCTCCCTCTTCTACCTCCAGCCACAGTGTGTGTGCTGGTGAGCTGATTGCTCAACTGTGCAGGGAATACCTGAGCCAACATAATCCTTGATCCTTCTGTATATATCATAAAATACAGCAGAAAAGATAGAACCAGATACTTGAAGTCCAAGGGAGCACATATAACCCTTTCACTTGATGAACAAAAAAAAAAGTAACCAAACCGAAGTGCAGGACTTACATGAATCCAACCAAGAGACAAAAGGGAGCCTTTGTCCTGAACTTCAAATATTTCTTCTTCATTCGTAGCTTGACACTGCATAATTAATAAGAATAGTTCAAGTATATTTCTGAAAATGCAACATTTTGGAGACCGCAGCAACACGTAAACTTATACCCATGCAATCCAGTGTTCGCCAAAACAACCATGTAGGCTGATTAGTACATGAGTATACTGTATACTCCACTTATCGCCTGGCCAAGCAAGTTAGGCCATAAAATGATCTTAGTTACATGGTTTGCATGTACATGGTTGATGGTCCTGAACGGGCAGAGCGGCCAACATGGAATGGCTGCTACAAGGGGCTGAACAGAAAAAATGGCAACTGGAGTAGCTTTTAGCTGATAGCCGCATGGGTGTGAGATGAAAATTTCAGCCCCCATTTCCATGCCCATTGGCATATAAGGATGCTTGCCATTTGGGAGTCTCTCCATCTGCAGGCACCCCTCACTCTATAATCAGAAACCAGCCGCTTCCTCGTCTGTAAGCTGCAGCACCTCGCTGATGTCCCTCTCCAGCTCTTCTGCACCAATCCAGCTCAACATCCAGGTCTCCTTCATCTCTTTCCTCCTCAGACTCCAGGTCATGGTTTTTGAGGCATCGAGGTGCACCCCAGGCGCAGGATGCCACAGGGTTTTAGTTACACCATATTGCCTAGACATCCAGGCGTACCCCCAGCGCCACAGGACACCGCAATGCCTCAAAAACCATGGCACAGCCCCCCCCCCCCCCCCCCCACACACACACACACACTGCCCTGCCCTCCTCCTCCTCTTTTTATTGGCTTAAGCAATGTGCCTGTGCGCTGTGTGAAATGGTTTGCTAGACTCCAGATTGCTTGGTTACCCAATAGGCCAACAACAACAACAACAAAGCTTTTTAGTCCCAAGCAAGTTGGGGTAGGCTAGAGTTGAAACCCAACATGAGCCCCTAGTCACGGTTCCGGCACGTCAATAGCTGTTTTTCAAGCACTCCTATCCAAACAAAGCTCTAGGTATATCACAACCCTTTAAATCTCTTTTTATTGCCTCCCCCCATGTCAGCTTCGGTCTTCCTCTACCTCTCCTCACATTGATATCTCGACTTAGGACTCCACAATGCACCGGTGCCTCTGAAGGTCTCCTTTGGACATGGCCAAACCACCTCAACCGATGTTGGACAAGCTTTTCTTCAATTGGTGCTACCAATAGGCCAACAATAGACAAAATGTATTGTTCAGTCCTTGCTACTAGATTGGTTCACTATGCTACTCTGCCTACAGCCTACTTATTTGTTTATTCCAGAAATTAGAGCTTGTAGTTAAAACCGAAACTGTAGTTTGCTCATTTGCAGGATGTCAGGCACTGAATCACCTTGTTCCACCATCAATTTTACATTTCCTGATTTTTACATCCATAAATATATGCATATTATTGATACTGCACAAACCGTTACATGCCGTCTACACAGCCTAAATGCTCAGCTATGGGAGATTACTCAATTTAGCGCTTAGCGTCTAGGTGAATTAGATGTAATACACAAAGCATAGGTTCCTAGCTAATTCACACAACGGATGCAAATCTACATCAGTTGCCACAGGTCAACAGAAATCTGAAGATGGTATTAGTATAATTGAAGTGCTCCTTGCTTTGGGTCTCGCCAATATAACAGCAAACCCAAAGATATTTTCAAAAGCTGTAGTCGATAACAAAATATTTACAAAAAATATTCTGGTCAGAAACATCTAATCGGGAAAATGAACAAGAGCATGTAAAAGCATAAAATAACTTACTGAATCAGATGTTGATTTCTGCTTAGGAATTATCAATGTCGTCACATAAAAGGTTCTCTTTTTCTACGAAAATATATATTGTCAATGATGCAACCAAGTATAACATTATTTTTGTTTGCTTTTAAGGGAGGCACATACCAGAGTACCAGCAAGAATTCCACAGGTTTCCAAATTCTTTGCAGTATTTAACTCAGCGACCCTCAGGAAACACTCCATTAATGCCACTGGCTGACAAATAGGTAAAATCAAATCATTAGACAAAAAAGTCTACAATGAATCAGATAAGAGAGAGAACCATCGTATTCATGTACTCCCGCCAACCCTTTTTAAGTGTCGTTCTTGCATATCAAGGAGTCAAACGTATTCAACTTTAACCAAATATATACAAGAGATTACTAATATTTATGGTGCGTAAAAAGTATCATTAGATTAATCATTGAATATGATTTTATAATACACTTATTTGGAGACATAAATGTTACTAATATTTTCTATAAATCTAGTTTAACTTAAGAAAGTTTGACTGACACGAAAATCTAGGTGACACTTAAAAAGGGACGGAGGTAGTATATTCACTTAAATATAGTGAACTTGGGGCAGAAGAAAAGGGAAACTGCATTTTGAACTTACCACATGCAAATTCTGATAGCGTCCGGTTTCAGAGGTAGCAAGTCCTGGTCTTGGATCAGCAACTCTTGATGGAGGAATTGGTCCATGCTCAGGATGCACTTGAGCTAGGACAGGTGGGGGAGAAGGTTGTCTAATATTCAGCTGGGAGAACTCTGCATCCAAACCAGGAGACAACGAGGCTGGTTCTACTGGTAAAGACCACCTGCCATCATCAAGCGAGAGAACAGACAGCATATCATCACTTTTGTCCTGAGATGCTGTACTGGCACCACGCAAACCATCTTGGTTCAAGATTGTTGGCATTAAACTGCAGAAGCAAGCAAAAGATAAGGTCATTTCATCTGAAAGTATCATAGCTCCATATAGCTGTTAGTATGGAGTGACTTTCTTAGAAGCTAAATACTATTGAAGTTCTCACCTAGAAATGTCACTTTGGGTTAATTCAGGATTATGTGGATACTCAATCTGCAGCAGACATTTAATGAAATACGAATGTCAATCAAATGCTAACTGCTATACTCTCCAAATACGTAATGAAATGTAAATAGAATAAAACAAAATAGATATACCCTGATACCAGTAACAGGCCTTGTCCATTGACCCAGATTCCCCTGAAGCCCATTAGGTCCTAGTATTGAGTGTCTCGATAATGTTTCCTCTTTTGGATACAGCATGCTGGTAGGTCTGCATTTGCAAGGTAAATTAATATATATAATAGTATGTCATGAGCCATCTTGCTTAGGCATATATTAAGTCTCCCAATATAAGGAGAGGAGATGTATATCAATCAAAGGAAAGCAAGAAATTATCTGGAGAGATCCTCATATATGTGTAAGTAGTAATACATATACATATCAGAATCAGAATTACATTTCTAGAGAAAAGCTGGATAAGAGGAAACAAAGTGCATAGGGAGGCAAGGAAAGCAGACTAAGTTAATCAAGCATAAAGTACATCGCACTTGCTTCACAAACAAAGTGCATTGCACGACCCAATCCTAGACAATGTGCTGTAAAATATCATCAAGAGATTGATAAAGATAGCAAGGGAAAATCACACTTAGATTATTAAAAAATTGGATGAAAAGCAAATATGACCATAGGATCATATGGGCTATTCTCCAAAATTATGCTAGTGCAATTAGAAGTAATAAATACAAAACATGTCAGAATATGCACAGTTGCAGATTTGTGGAAAAAAAATGAGCATAAGTGCACTGCAAAAAAAAAAAAAAGATTGTCGATATCTTTTAAGAACATTGTGTCCTACTCCTATTCTTACAAAGTACACGTGATAATTTCTTTAGCACATATGACAATTTCTCATCTATGATCTTTTTTTATTTTTTTTATGTGCACAAATAAAATGACCCAATTCAATAAAATGCTTCCACACCTAGTTTCTAAAAATATTTAAGAATTCAACTCAAACTAGTGCAGTGAGGACAGGTGGTTTTAAAGCTGCCATGAGCGGTCATAGTAGTCAAGCAATCCCTATTGTCCTAATCGATGTACATCCCATCAAGATACTGAAATAATTAAGGTTAAGCCAGTGAACAATTCCCATCTGATCTTTTGTAGTTATGCAAACACATGGCTGTCCCCAACTTTTCAACCTGAAATCCCATATGTACTCATCTAATTACATCTTTAGGAAAATGATGTTGATTGTATCACACACATAATCAGGCCGAAGTGGGGCCTTACGGTTTCATAGCATGTCTATAAGGTTGAATACTCTGCGATGTAGCTGCTTGATGCTTTGAACCCGGTAACGGTTTCTGCAGTAGTCTAGTAGGGTTTCCAGCGAATGACTGTAAAACAAGGGAAACATTAGCCAGATTCCTTGAACAAGCAAATAACTGTTTAGAGCACATTGTCCCTTCCTTTGATAATGGATTGAAACAGTAAGGAGGTAAAGTGTAGAGCAATTACGTGCATACCTTTGACATATATGGGCCTGGGGTATGGTGCTCCAACCCACTACTTGCAGCATAGGTTCCATATACACCATTAGGTTCATCTGCACCCCTGCTATTACAGGTGGCAATTTGTTGCTGCACAACTGGCTTCAGGGACTCTAGTTCATTGACAACACCAAGAATTTTCTACAACAAAACAGAAAACAGTTTTAATCACTCAGCAAAAAGAACTTCTGGAAACTATGCTTGGGTTCAACAACGCACTGTGATCCTGAAGTGTTTTATTCTGCATTCTAGTCACGATAGCTTGCATGTTCCAAGAAAAAAAAAAGTATTGCATTGTTCACTTTTTCCAGCATAACAATTTGCTGTATACAGTATGAACACTAGGAAAAAGAGATGATCTAAGCTCAGCAAGGCAATACCTCAGAGAAGTCACAAAAAAAAGAAGGCAATACCTCAGAGTTGTGTGGGCCTTTCTTCAGGAATTCCTTTTCTCTGGCCTTAAATGCATGGTAATCGCGATGTTTGGGTATGGTCTCAAGCAACAAGCTGCCAATGAGCAGAGATAACATTTAACATCCAAGCTGATAACATTAAGAAGCAATTGACAAGATTCCAGTATACACCTCACCTCGAGTATCTAAGGAGGATGATGTAGAGGTCCAGAACATTCTTCTCTTCTCGATGCACATTAGCCTGCGGGCACCACATAAAAAGCCAGAATTAACACAATATACCAGCTAACTACCCGTACTTAGGGCAATTGCAGAGAAATAGGTACAATATAGTTAACCAAACGCGCGCTCGAATCCAGAGCTACTACCACTATTAGACGCAAAGATAATAGCTCCAGCACAATAAGGCGATGGGATCGATCACAGGGCACCTGGCGCAGGAGGTTGTCGGCGATGCGGAAGTAGTAGTGGATGCTGATGCGGTGGTCGACGGCGACCGGCCGCGCCATGGACTCGATGCTTACGTCTATCCTAGTCCCGTGAGATAGTCCCGAAGCCATCTCAGGTGGGGCGAGACTGACTCCACGGCAGGCCAGGCGATGGATATCTGCTCCAATCCGCTACGGGAGGACAAATTCGACGGGCAGTCACAGAGGCGGACTAGGATTAGCCGAGGACGAAGAGAAGGAGCGGCGGATGCGAGGGCGTGCTAGCAGGAGAACGTGGGCAAGCAAGAAGGGGGAAGTTGCTTGATCGACGGGGGAGACTAGTTCGAAGGAGCTACCGGATTTAATTTTTTTTACAATATCTACCGGATTTCATTAACAATTAAGAACAAACTAGTACTACCTCCGATCTCAAAAGATGCGGTGCCACAGGAAGTGATTCACGTTCAATCAAATTAGTGAATAATATTCAGAGTTACATCTTTAAATTTATTTATTATGAAAATATATTTCGTAATTAATCTGATAGTATTTATTTGCTATCATAAACATAAATATTTTTTTATTTATAATTGATCAAATTTATGGTACTAAGACGTGATACTATGCTAAATTGTATTTTTTCGGGGGCGAAGACACTACTAGCAAATAAAAGTAAAATTTATGATCGGACCTCAAACTTGTAGCGGTGTGTCGTCCCAATCCACAAATTTAAAAAGCGTGTTATTTTAGTCCCTAAACTCTATTTGGTCTCGTATTCTCTCTAGCCTCTCTCATAGCCATGGTCAACTCATCGGCGTTCGTCCTATGTAGCTGCGACAGCGATGGCTTGCCTGCGCGCCGGTGGCAGCGGCTACTCGCCCGCGCGGCGCTCACCACTGTGCCCAACACTACACTGTTGCTCGGGAAAGCCGCCCCATCGAGCTTGGAACCGACGAGCTCTGCCCTGTGCTACTCCAGCGCAAGACGGCCACGATGGGAAGCTGCAAGACTAAGCCGGCCCACAGCGAGACCGCTGGCGGCGAATCGCTTCCCCGCGTCGGCAGACAATGCCTCGGTTGACGAAGTCGACGCGACCGAAGCTCAAAGATCGGCGAAGTCTCAGACGACGAACTCCACCTGACCGCCCCCGTCTTTGCCGGCATGCGAGCGCAGGGAGCACCGAAGCGCTACTGGCATGCCGAAAGCGCAAGACCTCGTTGTGCCACCACATTGCTAAAGCGTCGCGCCACCGCCGGTCGAGGATCTTCAGTAGAGCCTGGCGCGCTCGGAGCAGCCACCCTGCACCATCAAGTGACAGCTGGCCCATGGCGCCGGCCTAGGTCGCCTCCACCTGCAGCGCCTCCGAGCCGCCCACCACGGCCACCAGCTCGCCCGCCGCGTGCTCGGCCGTGAGACCGGACATGGCACGCACTAGCGTCGCTACCGTCGCGGACCCGCCACCCACGCCGGCGACCACGACGTCGCGCCCGTCCTCGACACAGCATAGCAGCTCCACGTCCGCCAGCACGCGCTCGGGCTCCCCGCTGCCGCCCTCCGCCACGTGCCGCCGCCGACCACGAGAGATAGGCGGGATGAGAGGAAGAAGATGACTTTTTTAAAAGCAACCCCTCATGAAGTTTATAAATATTTATGTAATTTTTGTGTCTAGGCAATTTTATATATCACCCCCGCTAATCTTGTATTTCATGCAATCAAGTATAATTTCAGTACCCGGGCATGGATCCATAACCGTTTGGACAAATACGAGACATGTCGGTGTAGAAAGTGACCAACACGTAAATATTTATAGTTTTGTCGTACGTTGTGATCGGAGGTGGCCTAGCACTCAATGATACAGGGTTTATACTGGTTCAGGCAACGTGCCCTACGTCCAGTTTAAGTCGGTTGGTGACTTTATTCCTGAGCCCAGGTGCTCGAAGTTTGCAGTGGGGTTACAAACGAGAAGGAAAAAGATGGGGGGTACAAGAGGTCCGGTCGGACTCTAGTCTGAAGGGCCAAGAGTGACGGGAGCCCCGCTATGTGCTAAGTGTTCGAGCGTGTGCTCGGTATAACTTTAGAGTGTCTAAAGTTATAGAGGATGAATCAATGTAGGTCAACTGATCGATCTCTTTGTTGGAAGAGAGCGAATCCCTTTATAGATGAAGGGGATGGCCTTACAAGTGAGAGGGAGAGAGTACGTATGCTACTAAGTCTTATTGCTCACGTCGGTAGGTACAAGATGATGGTAGGCGTCCACAATACTGTTTAATGTCAGATGCACGTGGGAGGTTGCGTCGTCTTCTTCTGGTATGGCAGATGTCAGTGCCTGCCATATTGTTGATACCCAGAGGCATGTAAGGGGTTTTACCATGTTCGCCTGGTACGATAAATGCCGACGCCCACAACTCTGTTGATGCCCAGAGGCATGTGGGGAGAGCCTTACCGTATTTGCCTGGTATGGGAGTTGATGGCGCCCACAACACTGTAGGGGAAAACGTCGGTGCCTACAACACTGCTTCAGTTCTGTCATACCAGGGAGGTCATAGGGGACTGTCCTACAAGTGTATAAGGTATGGTCCTTGGTATTACGGTTAACTTGTGTGCCCTGCCTTACTTTCTCCATCCGTTTTCTAGTCCTTACCGAGCGGGCGTCCCCGGTCGGTTGGTCCCAGTCGGCTCTGATTGCACTAGTCGGAGAGGAGTTGTAAGCAGGGGTTTCGGTGCATCCCTGGTCGGAGACGCGGGTCAGAGTCAAAAGTGGTATTTTGGCCAAGCCTTCCGGTCGGAGAGGCCATTCGAAGGTGGTCTGGAGACCGAAGTGAGTGCTCCAGTCGGAGAGGCGGGCCGGAGTCAGAAGCGGGCACCATTCCTCCTCGGCCAGGCCTTCTAGTCAGAGATTGGATCGCCCTTCTAGCCTGTCGTTTAGGTACATGGGCCGGCCCAAGAGTTGCATGTTGTTCGCAACGTTGTCTGCTGGGCCGAGCCTTTGCTGGGAAGCCGGTCCACGTGGGACCTCGGGTTTATGAACCCGACAAGACCCAAACATAGTTTAGTGACCGAAATAACACACTTTTTAAGTTGGTGGACTAGGATAACACACTGCTATATGTTTGAGGACCAGCCATGAACTTTACTCAGCAAATAATATGACCATGAGATATAACACATGAAGAAAAAAACTATCAAATGTTTTAGGCGTGTCAGTCAATTTAACCTGTAATTGACAAGGGATATGACAGATAGTAGTGTTGATACCAGAGAGTGTTCAAAACACACAGTGGCTAGCACGCCCAAGAGGTTGCACATAACCTGCAACGCAGCAAGAACGCAGCATGATCGACTAAACTGATCTAGAGACCGGTTATGCCGATGTTGAGCTCATTCTTGGTTAGATAGACTCCTAAACTTCTGCCAAGAGGACCCGTCGGGGAGGACGACATGGAGGGTGTCCTAGGACTAGCAAGGCTACCTAGAACGCCGACAAATCTCGCCAGGAGACGAGCTGAACAATAGGAGAGGTTGAAAAAAAGGTAAAGGGTGTAGTAGATTGATTTTTGATCAATTGCATAGATAGGAACTCAAGCATCCATGATCCTCTCATATATAGAGAGGGGTGGTTTTATCCCAATAGGAATCAAATCCAAAAGGTCATCTCCAAGTTTTCCACGTTAAAAATATCTCAAAACTGAATTGAAACCCAAATCGATTTGTAACATAGGAGGAATCAACTTTAGCCGACTTCTGCGAGTTCGGGCGGATACCCCGATCAGGCTGAAAAGGGAAAGTCAGCCAATCGGCTCACCAAAAGTCAATAAGTACTTAATCGGCAAACTACCGATAGGCCTCTTTCGGCATTTGAAATGCCGACATGCGGTTAGTCAATTATAGCAGAGGAGTTAATCAGCCGGCCCAAAGTCGATATGCACCTAATCGGCAAACAAGCAGCCAATAGACTTACTGCAAGATTTGGCTAAGCCGACTGGGTGTGGTTCACCTAGCTTGCCATCTTTTAATGGGAACGGGGATCCCGATCTTCCGTCAGGTGATGGTAACTATCGTTGTGGCGGAGAATGACACACCGATCCGGCTTCAGGTCGAAAGATTGAACCCTGCAATCTTAGCACCACAGCTCCTCTGGTTATCAACCAAGTCAAGGACCAGGTTGACCTCGCCAAGAAGGCTAATCCCTGCCTACGCAACAAAGAATACAAGCAAGAACAAGAAAGAACGCAACCAAATTGTAGATGAATGATTATCTCACGAAGTTGGGGTCTCACAAACCGATGAACGGCGAAATTATTCTTCACAAAATAATCTAAGCAAAACCCAAACCCTAATGGAGGAGCTGCGGCTGTTTATGAAGAGTCTAGGGTCATGCAAGACCCCTGGACACGCCCCTAATGGGCCCAAACACGATACATGGTCCAACGGACCAAAAGACGATGTCGCAGCACCCTGGCAGATTCTGGATGCTGTCTTGTGACCATGATTCCTGTTGATTCCGAACAGCTTTTGACGTAAGACCACTTGGATTGGCTTCCTTATCAAATTAGCTTTCCATCCATATGTGGATCGTCGAAAACGGAGTCCGCGGTTGAGGAAGTGCCCGCTGGAGAAGTTGTCACGGCTGGTATGTTTCTCGTCAACAAGCATCCCGCTGTTGTTTTATTTGATTCGGGAGCTTCTCATTCCTTTATGAGTAAAGCATTCACATCTAGGCATGATCAGGAAATAATTGAAGTAAGCAAAGGGGGTTATAATATAAGTTCAGCAGGGGGTACTATTTCTACCAAAAAGATAGTCAAAAACGTGCTCATCTCTATACAAGGGAGGGAGTATACAACGGATTTGATAATATTGCCCGGGTTATCGATAAGTGTAATCTTAGGCATGAATTGGTTGAAGGATCATGGTGTTCTCATTGACACCAGCACCCGTACTATTATGTTGAGAGAACCCACGGGAGGGAATGCTTTTCTAGTACCACTCTCCCGTAATTTTGAACTCCAACATTTAGCCTGTGCTATCCAAACCACCACACTTTGTGATATCCCAGTGGTTTGTGAGTTTCCGGATGTATT